TCCCACTCAGCTCCTATTAACCCTGTAAACCTCTTAATGGGTAGAGTGATCCTAGCTGGAGAAACAGCGAGCAGCTTGCCAGACAATGATAGGGGCTCCAATTGTAGAAGCTACTTGTAGTGCAATTTAGAGGAGAAATCCATTGGTTCCTAGGGTCTTGTAATTTGTTCTGCTATCTTCTGATTTCATGCTTGGACGGTGGCATATTCAATCTGAAGATAGGTTTAAATTTAAATTACACATATCAGAGTACATATGAGAAAAAGGGATAATGTGATTCATTTTTTTTTCTTTGTGCATATACAAGAATGTTGTTCTGAACATTGAAATAACTACTGTTGTAAACCTGCTCAGTATTGAATTAGGTAGAAATCTCACCAATAAATGGGGGCAGGGGCTTTTCACATCCTCCTTCCTATGTTAACGCTCAAGAGTATTTGGAATAAATTCATCAAACGCATTCATTCCACAGACCATGTTCCTTAATGGATCTACCCATCCTTCATATCACAGTCTCCTCGAAACTGCAATATAGTTGTCTAGGTAGTATCAAAACCAATGTCAAATGACCAATGTTAAGGTAATCAGGAAAACCAATGTGTGCTGTGCATGCTTGGAAGAAAGTGACAGAAAACATCACGAATATGAAATGAAATGTTGCAGCTGTACAATGAGCAACCGAGAGCAACCGCAAAAGCTCTGTATAAACCCAATTCTTGATGCTTTCTTTCGGTAATTATTTCCTAACCAGTAAATTTTGAAACACTATTATGAAACAAAAACAGAAGTCGCTGGGAACACTCAGCAGGTCAGGCAGCATCTATGGAGAAAGGAAAGTGAGTCAACGTTTCGGGTCCATGACCCTTCGTCAGAACTCAAAGTGAGGGCCAGTCTCAACTGTTATGAGACTGGCCCTCACAGGCTCTGTGTTATACATGTTAAATTAAGATTTTATTTTCCGAAGATAGTTTAGAATATCCATTTAGGCAAAACAACAAATCTTTTAATCACTTGCAAAAATAAACTTTAGCCAGCAGCATTTATTCAGCAACATGTTATAGTTATGTATAAGTATGTATACATAGGTATTTATGATTTGAAAAGGAGAGAATAAGAGAAAGGGAGAGAGTGAAACTGAGAATTAGAGGAAACGTCAGAGAGAAAGACTACAAGAGAGAAATAAAGAAGTGTTGGTGCAGCATTGTACTATAGTGCCTTCAGCTCCCCTCTCGACTCTCTACCCCCTCCTCGCTCCCTCCCTTCCCTCCCCTCACCCTGACCATTTCCCCCCTGCTCGGGTCCCGACCCAACTGTCCAGCGCCTTGGGACGTCCTCCTGACGTGAAAGGCGCTCTATAAATGCAATCATGTTGTTGTTGTTATAGTGACCATAAAACTCCCAACAGAATTGTTTGAGTCAGCACAGTAGCGCAGACATTTTAAGGCCAAACATGTTGTAAAAAATATAAAAGCAAATAGAAATAGGACATTAATTCACATTAGTGCCATGAGATCCCTGTCCAACTTTCAAATGCTCAGTCAGTCCCTAAACATCTCTGTGCCGCAGTGAATCACGCACAATTGCTGATTTTGATTTTTAGTCAATATACAGGAAATTAAATATCTGCCATCAAACAGACCAGATGAATGTTTGGCGAGTTACATCTTTTATTTCTCTTTGTATTTTGGCCCAGTCTTAATCCACATGGTATGTCCAGGCAGCATGGCAGTCATCACTTAAAGAGGTCCCTTCCTGCTGAATGAACTTTCAGACTTGCATAGACAATCTAAGCTGTTAACAGGGATTGTTAGTGAGAAATAATTTCCCCCCTATCAATTACCAAACTACCTCATAATTTTAAAGCTCTCAATCAGGTCTTCCCTCAACCTTCTCTATTTCAGTGAAAATAGGCCCAAATCCTCCAGTCTCTATTCATGGGTTAAGCCAGTTATCCCTGGTAACACCTACTGACTGACCGAAGAAAGTCAATGGCAGAAAGCACAAAAATGTTCAGCAGAAATTGGGGAGGGGATGGGAGGGGAGCAAGCAGACAAAAAAATCAAAAATGCATAAAAGTAATCTGATAAACAGATCATAAATGCCATAATCTAATGTTTTTTGTCAGAACTCAGCTCCCGGCCTGCAGTAAGATTCCACACCATCTATGAGGGCCAAAAAGCACTTATCAGGAGAATGGCAGACTTGCGATCACCCACAATCTGGTCTGAGCCAAGGCAATACGACGCACAAGGAGACATATTTTATGTCCCAAAGCACCCCTTCTGCTACCACACAAGCACTTAGTTAGTCCACTATATCAACTCAACAAATGAGAGGATCCATTTGCCTGTCCAGGTGGATGTTAAAGATCTCATGGCAATATTTGAAAAGAGAAGGAAATTTCTCCCGGTATCCTCAACAATCCCCCAAATAAAACTGGTCACTCCACAGCTCCATGGTTTGTGGGACATTGTTATATGCAAATGGCTGCTGCAATTCATCCACAAAATACACAGTCAATTCACTTTACAGTATATCCTGTGAAGGGCTTTGAAACCTCCGAACAACATGATAATCATAATAATAATCCTTTGCATTTGATAGAGCACCTTATTATGTCTTCAAGATGTCTCAAAGTGCTTCACAGCATATTCTGTAAAATGAATTGACTGTATATTTGTGGGGGCAAAATGCGGCAGCCAATTGTGCACAGCAGTGCAACAGTCATAGACTGAGTGACCAAATTATTATTATTTTTTTAGGAATTATTACCCCCAGAAAAGCAATCCGCCAATCAACTAACAACCGGGTTCCTACTCACTGTTAGGTAAACAGAGGCGTATGGAGCAAGGGAACTTGCCCAACATTTTGCCCCGTCCAGGAATCGAACCCAGGTCCTCTCACCTGCAAGGCAAACGCTGTAAGCACTACGCTATAAGGTGTTATATCAAATGAAGGGATATATCAAATTTATTATTAATTTTGTAAATCTCCACAAGATAATTACTTTTGTTTCATTTGTTTATTTTATAAAAGAAACTTTACAATGTGGCGAACACAATATTGTGTCATAAGTGTTGCAATCTTGTTGAGATTGAGGTGAAAACCTTTTTGCAACCCTCCCTGACAGAAATATATAAATACAAAATTTAGACAATTTCTACCCAGCAAATCCCCTAAAATAGGCTTTAGAATGTACCATTTGTGATGGTTCACCAATAAGCAACTAAAGAAAGACCACAACTATGCAGAAACATCTGGAATGGAGATGGAGAACAGCTGTAATATCTTACCAAAATGGACTAAGATGATATTTAGTGAACCATTAAACCAATAGAAAAATTCATTGGTGTCCTTCCTATTCATAATACAATTTTAAAATTTGCATTGAATTTATTTGTGGAGTCCTGTAGCTCAGTAGTTAGAGCACTCGCCTCGCAAAGCCAGTGACCTGGGTTTGATTCCTGGCAGGACGAAATGTTGGACAACTTTCCTTACTCCACACACCTCTGTTTACCTAAAAGCATTAGGAACCTGGTTGTTAGTCGATTGGCGGATTGCTTTTTCGGGGGTAATAATTCCTTCAAAAAAGATAATAATAATAATAAATTGGTCACTTCAATCCACGACTGTTTGTGCGCACATTTTGATTTTGTTAAAAAATAAATCTGGTTTTGTCCCAACAAAGTCAGGATTATTAATATTATTATTTAACTATTGCACACATTTATAGAGCGAATCATTGTTGATCAACTCAATAATGTTGTGTGTAATTGGCTGCGCGTTTCACCCACAAAATGTACAGTCAATTCACTTTACAGTATATTCTGTGAAGCACGTTGAGATGTCTCAAAGATGTGATAATCAAATGCAAGGATTGTTATTATTATGATTATTATTATTAAACGACTGCACATATTTATAGAGCGAATCAACCCAACAATGCTAATGTGACAAAACAGTGACAAATGTGTGTAGCAGCGTGGAATATAATAGATATAATAATAATATATAATAATAATCCTTGCATTTGATATAGCACTTTTCATGACTTCTAGATGTCTCAAAGTGCTTCATAGAATATATTGTAAATAGAATTGACTGTATATTTGTGGGCGAAATGGAGCAGCCAATTGCGCTCAGCAGTGTCCCACAAATAGTCGTGGATTGAGTGACCAAATTATTATTTTATTTATTTATTTTCTTGAGGTGTGTGGAGAAAGGAAACTTGCCCAAGGTTTCGCCCTGCCAGGAATAAAACCCAGGTCTCTTGCTTGCGAGGCGAGTGCTGTAACCACTGAGCTACAGGACTCCACATTTCATTACCGTAATGACCCACATAAAGTAATGGTCTCCTGACTTTGTTGGGACAAAACCAGATTTGTTTTTAACAAAATCAAAATAAATACATGTGTACATACACTTCACAATTGCAGGGAGTTCAAAATTAGTGGCACCATCCTAATTGAAAATCCTCCTCAAGTACGAGAGCGAGACTGAGTCACTCAGCTTGTACACTACCTCTCCCCCCTCCCAAATTTGGTCCAATGACAATGTCTGAATGATTCAATTTATCAGTAGCACTAGAAGATTTCAGAGTTTCTTTGTTAAAAATATCAACACTGCAAGGTTTTCCTTTCTTGTCCATCCTTCCCCTTCTTCTAACACACAAAGTCACTCCACTCCCCTGGATTTCTCACATCTCTGGGTTGTCTATTCAGTATCATTTGATTCTCATTACAGTGACATATGCATTTTTCCAACAGTCTTGAGGTAAGTTTTCATACATAAAAAGGATTTGTGACAAGTGGAATATTTCTTTGCTTTTAATTTATAAACTGGCATAAGAAGATCAATTTGTAGTTGAGGCTTTGAGCCCTTTTGAAATTAAATAAGCCTTAGCAATAAACTTAACAATTTGCTCAAACTTCACTATAATAAAGAGCACACCAGGTTACACATTAGACATTAATCGTACAGAAAATAAACAGAAATCCTACCAGAGGTCCATGTTGTCCATCTGCCCCAGGCAAACCTTGGTTTCCAGTCTCTCCCTGGGGGAGAAAAAAATGAATTTGATTAATTAACTACAGGTTCCTAAAAGGCTCCAAACAAACAAGCTGATTTCAAAGGAGTGTTGATTGTGAAATGTCATTATTGTACTTAAAATAGCAGGCTTTGTTGGGACAAAACTTCAGAATTAATTTTCCTAAAAAAAATCAGAACAAAAATGCACGTGCAAACCTCATAATTGATGGGGCTTCAAAAATAATTTCAAAAGAAATACATTCAAAAAAGAAGAGTTGGGTATCTCCCATTTCGAATCAGCAACAAAATAAATCATTTTAATTAGCGATAGCTGTGAGTCAGGCCTTACAGTCTATGTTTCAATCCAACACTACTATTATGTCAAACTCTAAAATAGTAACTGCTGAGAAATGCAACATGTGCAGCAATTTTTTTTAAGTTAAAAAGAATGTAGGCAGCTCAACTCATAATTTACAAACAGAATTCCTCTCCTCTGTCATGGTCATAGGCTATAGCTCAAAACCGATCAGAAATAGATAACTGTTATAGAGTAAAAAGAGCCAAAGGGCATTCTTCATCCAAACTAATCTGGTGATATGTGCCACAGAACTTGGTGACTTTGCTCCTGCTTTTTAAAAAAAATTCTGGCACTGTTATTTGGCTCGAGATCACAAAAAAATCTTTATGGATCTTGACATTATCACAAATTTGTTTTTGCACAAATGCTGGACAATCTTCAAAATCTGTAAATCAGTGAAACAATTTTGACTCATCTCCTCCTTTGCTTGTTTCTTTCCTCTGCATTTTTTAAGATGGGATGGGGAGGGGGGTGGTGTGAAAACTGTCCTCCTCACTCACCAAATAGGGCCGGTCTGAAGGTGATTGCACCAGGACACAACTTGATGTACAAATGTAATTTTTTCACTTTGACATTCTGTAAACTCCACAGCAAGATTCACATCCTTGTTACATTTATAAGTTGAAATACGACTGTTAAAGTCCAATAGGTGCCAACTGGATTAAACCATTAAACCAATGATTTAAGCCTTCTTCACCCAAACCATTCTGGTCATCTTGTCCTTCCAGAGCACCCATCCTGCTCATCTTCCAATTACACTACTAAGCAGTTTCTTAAATGAATCCAATTTTGCGGCCTCAAAAAACTCTTCTTGGTAAACCTCGGTTTAAAAAAAGTTAATCCTGCAACAGAATGCAGCAACTAGTTCCAAACTATCATTTTATTTCATCCTAAAAAAAATTAGCTCTCCGTCACTGAAATAGAAGAGTAGAATTTCAGTGAAATGTAGATAATAGCTACTGACAGCTATCATTAACTTCAGACAAACACATCATTTCCTTCCACCAACCAGAGAATCCGGTCTTGATGGATGCCTTTGAGCCATCAAGTGCAATAAAGGCAATCCAGTGATGTAGAAGAATTGTTATGAAATGAACTGTTATGACTTTTTAATTCAGATTGAAAGTCTTCAATCGTTGCATATATTTTTATAAAATGAATGTAAAAGAAAATGGATCAATGTCAATTAAACTCAAAACTTTGGCATTAACTTTTCACGATGATTTTAAAATGTTAATCAAAACACTGATCCTGGAAAAATGAACAGTACAAATGTAGATTTTATGAGTCCAAATTATACTTTATGGGCAGAGGATAGGAAAATAAAATTGAAAGAGATTTCAAAGGTAAGGAGAAGCAAAACCTGAAAAGGATTTGAAGGTGACGAACTTTATGTTAAAGTTCATGAGCTACTGATAGGCAATGGAGTCTGGAGTAAAAGTGTGGTTCTAGTATGGAACAGAACAGAAAGTCAATATAAGTCAGTCAATCACTCAACCTGTGCAACACACTCATTCCTCAACCTGGAGGACACACTCAGTCAGTCATCTAAGATGGTTATTATTCTATGGGTCTGCCACAATCATTGCACTAATATCAGCTGTGAAGAATTTAAACAGAATAATCTTCACCTGGTAGCTCTTATCTGAAGACCCTGGCAAGCTCTTGGGCTGCAGCCATACTAGCTACAACCAGGCAAAAAGTTTACATGAGCAATTGTTAGTTATTATTACAAATGTTCGCAAGTCCTCAATGCACAAAATGCTTTCCTTATTTTCCTGTCAGATGTCTCAACCTTTTTATCACCATATATATTGAGAATGCAACATTGGGAACAAACCTCAATTTCAACAGACCGTTATTTCTATATACAGTTTACGGCTTGAAAGAGTTTATAAGTTTGTAATATATGTTTATTATAATAACAGTAAAATTGCAAACCACAAATTACCTTTGCCATTCTAATTTATAACTACTGTATTACTTTCTGACTTGCAGCTGAGGGTATAAGGGAATGTTCTGTAATATTTTCATTTGACTAAGATAAACAATTAGATGGCGACTACTCTCCTTACAAGTTTTCTGGCTTGATGCATTGTACAAGTTTACCAATAGACTGTTCAAATCTGAGAATCTGAAGATCTATAAGTGTGCTGGAAGCTTGGTATAAAGGAGCAGGGTAAAACAGTGCAAGTGACAGTACCTCAGGCAATTCAGGTTGGACAATGCACATTTTTTTAATGAACTCTGTTCATACATTAGCCTATCAGCTGTACTATGGCAGTGTAGATGTTTGAGCTTTATTCGCAGCCCAGCCACAGTGTCTACTTTTGAAAATCTCTGAGGTTTCTCTTATTCTGTTACATGAATCTTGGGTGTTTCTCCTCATGATTTCCACTATCAACAGTCGTAGAGACCAGGAGATGTGTCCTGAATATCAGGTATCAGTGTTCCTAACCTCTTTCGTTCAAAATAAACTTCCAAAAATGTTACCAGTTCTGAATATTCAGCTTCCAGAGTGGCAGCAACAGCACACAAGGCATTCAGTAGCTGAAAGCACTCAGCCACATTATAGCCACTCAAGATAGATCAGATCAGTTTTTCCATCGTAATTGCCCCACAATGCCAGAAGAGCAGTTGTTGACACACTCTGCTGGGTTGTCACTCTGTTCAAGAAAAGGAGAACCTGCTATTATAATATGGGTTTCACTTTTCTTACAATCTTGTTATTGGGCACTATTTAAAGTTATTGTGGTTGCTGAAAGATTTCTTACAACTTTTGTAGATTTAACAAACTGATATAGCCGAAGCAGAGAACGTCAATTCAAGTCACCAGTACTTTAGTCATGTTCGGGTCAGTGCCTCTGATAAGGCTTCTATAAAAATTTTTGATGTAGCTAATCAAAATTCCCCTATGGACATTTGAACCAAGAGATGAATAATAGGAGGCAGAAGATTTGAAGCAAGATACAAAGGTAAAGGTGTTCTCGGTCAGCATGGGTCACCATATTTGAGGAGGGTTAGCCTGCAGGGGATGGCTCCTTGGTTACAACTCCTGATGATTTGAGTATACATACAGCATAGGCCACTTCACTTGATAGAATGACCTCTCCAGAAATAAGTTGAACTATAAATGACAGGCCTTTAATCATGTCCAAATTTTTCTACACAAACAACTAATGTTACAAACCACAGAGTGGGTATGTGATTTTTTGGGGATTTGCAACATAACTAATTCTTAGTAAATATTTGCAAATTATAGTTTGCCAATTAACATAGTATTCCATCATTACATTCAGGAGCTCTTTGCCTGCTTGGCCCAACGATTAGTATGTCATGTCCTGTGTATGCAACATTGATTTATTATCATTTATACTAAGAAAGAATTCTGTGGACTTTCCCTCAAGAGTTTTAAGGAACAACAATCTGTAACTTCAGAAAGGAAGAATGTTCAGCCTCAAAGCCAGCTCAGAATAACACTTCTTCAAGGTTAATGCCTGTCTGCTGAAATGTTCACAGGGACATCAACAGCAAACTGCATTCTTATCTCAGGGGCCAATGAAGCCATAATTTTATGAATGACCGAGCAGCTTGGAGATACACGGCTCAGGCATTTTTGGATTCAGCACTTGTTTTGAGGCAGGGTCATGTTTCTAATTTAATCTAATCACGGGTTTGGCACCACAAGGTTTTGGACAATGGTATGAAAGTTTCTGGAAAAATTTTAGCTGGCTGCATTCCTTCTACAAGTTAAAACTTAAAACATCCATTCATAATAATAATCCTTGCATTTGATATAGCGCTTCTCACGTTGGGAGGACGTCCCAAAGTGCTTCACAGAACACACTGTAAAGTGAATTGACTGTATATTTGTGGGCGAACGCGGCAGCCAATTGCGCACAGCAATGTCCCACAAACAGTCGTGGATTGAAAATGACCAATTTATTATTGTTTTGGTTTTTCGAGTGATAATTATTAAGCGTGTGGAGTAAGGAAACTTGCCCAAGGTTTCGCCCTGCCTGGAATTGAACTCAGGTCTCTCGTTTGCAAAGCGAGCGCTCTAACCATTGAGCTACATAAAACAGAAAAAGGAGGCTTATCCAAAATACAGAAGATAATCAAATAGAATATAGAAAGTACAGAGGAGAACTGAAAAAACAAATAAGAGAGGCAAAGAGATTGTATGAGAAAAGATTAGCGGGTAACCTGAAAGGGATCTCTAAGATATTTTATAAGCATTTAAAGAATAAAAGGTTAGTCAAAGGTAGGGTGGTTCCAATTAGGGACCAAAGAGGAAATCATCCTGTGGAGGCAGAGGGCATGGCTGATGTACTGAATGAGTACTTTGCATCCGTCTTCACAAAAGAAGTGAATAATAATAACAATGATCCTTGCATTTGACATAGCTCTTTTCACATCTTCTAGACATCTCAAAGCACTTCAAATCTCCCTAATTGACGCGGCAGCCAATTGCTCACAGCAGTGTCCCACAAACAGTCATGGATTGGAGTGACCAATTTATTATTGTCTTTTCATGAGAGATTATTATCAGGCGTGTGGAGTAAGGAAACTTACCCAAGCTTTCACCCTGCCGGGAATCGAACCCAGGTCTCTCACTTGCGAGGTGAGTGCTCTAACCACCGAGCTACAAAACTCGAGATGCAGCCA